TCAGCTCGATGTTCTCGCTTCAATCATATATAAATATATCAAAAAGAAAAAGTCATGGAAATGAATAGTAGTATAATAAACACCGAATACATAACTATGTATTACGAGACGTTTCGTACAATATCTTAGTACATCCTCAGTCAGAAATAATATGTATTATTTCTGACTGAGGATGTACTAAGATATTGTACGAAACGTCTCGTAATACATAGTTATGCATTCGGTGTTTATTATACTACTATTCATTTCGAAATGTATTCACCGGTTAATTAAAAAGAAACCTGAATCAGAAGTCATGGAAACTTCGAATTACGGGCACCTTACCTTTTTCTTGCGCAGTGGAACAAAACCAAATTTGCTTTCCAAACTTAGATATCCGGTCATAACGCCTAATCATTTGCTTTCAAAATTAAAAAGATCAACCTGAATGGATCTAGCAAAATTGGCAAAAAACACTGAAATGCTTTCGCCCTCAATTCTAACTGAAAATTATTGGAATTGTAGATGGAAAATAGAGCTTTTCAAGTCATACACGGTGGCTCACAAACTTTTAGCAGATAATACTAAAAAAACCTGTGACTACGTTTATTTTTTTTCTCTTCTGAAAAAGTAGAGTATTCATTTTCTCTGAGAAAAAGTACTCAAGATTTTAGGTTATATTGTGTTTGTACATGTTTATCCAATTATTAATAAAATAAAAATTTTTTTTATAATAAAAAATAGCTTCACGGTTAATTTTCTCTTGGAACGAGTTCCACAATTAGCTGATTTTCAATTTGATTTTTCGTTCAAGTGACAGACGCCAAATTAATCTATCCTTGTCGTAGATACACAGAAGTTTTTTAAAATACCGTTTTCCGTGAACCATGAAATAACAGAACTCATTACTAACTGAATAAAAAGATTAAAATTTTGCGAAGTAAAAATTCATTACTTTTTCACTGTATTATAAATGGTCAAAATTCAAGCTCACGAGGAAACCTATCCAGGTGATACTTTTTGATTTCGTTCGTTCATATGTCGGTCGATAGAGGGTATCGAAGTAGTAAAAGGCCTAAGAAGGATTTTTTCCCATGACTCTTGAAGGCCCGCTTTTCTGGAAAAAACAGTTTTTCCGAAACTCCAAAAAATAACCAAGATCTTTCTTAATGAGGCATAACTGTAGCCCACGAATTTCTCCTCCACTAACAATCAATATTCAACCTTGTCCTCCCTGTTCGTTATACACCAATTTTGCCAATCAATAGTGTGAGAAGTATCTTCAACATGTTTTTGTTGAGCAGACGTTCCATCTTTAATGTTCGTGTTTGAATAATCATCGCTCTACCCTAGAGAACGTACTTGTACCCAAGTACTTGGGATAAGTACTCTGCTTGTGTAATGAAGCCGGTACTTGTCTTTTTTCCAGAAGTAAGTTTTCTTGTAAGTACGGGTTCAGCGTGCAAGTACTTGATTTTTCACTTGACAGGCACTTGTTGACAAACGCTTGTCAAGTAAAATTGCAACTACTTGGATTGTTTTACAAGGTAATATTATTCGAGTGTTTCTCTATTGTCCCTTAATATTCACTTTGTGAACTTATATTGTTCTATGTCTGAAGTCCACAAAGAAAACACGTTATCTGCAGCATAGGTATAGTATTCAAATAGATAGTGGCGAGCGATTCTAGCCTGTCTTATCCAAGAAACTGCTGATTTTAACCCTATTTTTAGTTAAAAAAGAGTATTTATAAATAGTAAATAAGCAAAACTGGCACCTAAGACAAAAAGAGATTATAAACGAAAGAGTAAGATAAAGCTTAAAAAATTAAAACAAGAGATAAAACAATAAAATAAAAAATCACTTTTATATTCGACCTTTTTGCAGTTTATATCTGTTTTTTAACTTTTCTAAAGCAGAATGTTCTCGAAGAGAACACCGGGAAAAATATGGTGAAATCAGTATATCATTATCTTAGGAAACACTTTATTTTGAGACATCTGGTATCAAAACTTTTTCTTTTTCACTCTTTCTTTATACAGAAATCGCTACAAAACAGTTCAAGGACGTTAAGATAAATTGTTTGTTGGATTTTAAATTATAAAATGTTCGACTAACTCTTTTTAAAGAACCCTTTTGATTTTTTGTTCAAACTGAAAAATCCTTCGCTACTTGAAAAACCCAAAACGATGTTTAAAACGATGTTAAACATCAGTGTCTGAACAAAATGTATTATTTTTCTAATTTTTCTTTATTTTTTTAATACGATAAGGTAAGATGTTTGATGAATCCACTTTTTTACCAATCAAATATTATCTAAAAACTACCTGTAATGATAAACACTGCTGATTCACTGAGATCCGATTTGGTATTCTGGTTTTCTCCTTTTTATATGAAATAAGTGGACAGCTTATATATACATGTACTGGTTCATATTGTTCATTATATATACAATTACTGAGCACATAATCTTTCAGTTTTTAAATTTCTTACATTGGGTAACTATAAAGATAATTTAAATTGGAGTTTGAGAAACGTTCATATACATAGACTTATAATTTATTTTAGTACTACACATGGCTAGACGTGCAACAGTTTTTTTCTCGTATTTTTCAAAAAATGGTTTGTATTTTCGCAACAACGAACTGTGAAATTATCTGAAATCAGCAGTTTTGTAAAGCAAACATTTCTCTACAAGATAGCATATAGTAGATATTTTTAAAGATACTTGATTTCTTTAAAAAACCTTTTTAATAGAATGACCCAGCAGTTAAAAACCGCAATTTAATTTCACAGTTCGTTGTTGCGAAATTACAAATCATTTTTTGAAAAACACGAAAAAGAACTGTTCTATGCCTACACCTACCTTTAAATAATATTTTTGTGCATAACACACAGGAGTGCATATTTATCTTTCTATCTGTAGGGCTGCTAAAATAAAAGCTAAACATTTAAAGATCATCTGCGTTCACGTTCAATTCTTGATGTATCTGAAGACTCAGCACCATCACCACCACCATGTCCGAATGAATAATGAAAATGTTCATCAACAACAGTAAGTAGATGCAAATGAAGAGGAAGAAGGAAGAAAGGGAGAGAGATTTAGAAAGATCTTACGAGGTTACGAACATGTTTGACTGTAGATGGTGTATATGATTACTGGGAATAAAAAACCAAGATGAAAAATTACTCTTATTTTATAGTAAGTTGTATATTTAAATTCAGGAGTTACTATTTCTTTGTACTTTACTACTGCAAAGCTTTTAGTCTATATATATTATTATATATATTATTTAGATATTTGAATAACACTATATCAATTCTTCTCTCTCTTTCTACACTGTTTTACAGTATCTTTTTGTATGTAAATAGAACAAGTGGAGAACAATATATGCACAGAAAAGAAAAAATAGTGTGTTTCAGATATTTGACACTATATCACAGAGAAAAAGCGTTAGAAGGAAAAAATTTCTTTTGAAAAGAAAAGAAATGATTTTTGTTGCAGTAATAATGCGGGGCAAACAATGCAGAAAAGATTAATGTAAAAAAATGAATGATAAGGTGTCATGCAGGTAAAGAAAATTATAAGACGCTTGACTGAATATTCTTTATGTGACGTAAATTATTTTCTTTTTATTAAGAAAAAAACAAGTTTTATGTTTTTATTTTATCAGCTGGAGCATGAGAGATGTGTCTGATCCGAATAAGAATTAACAGATATGCTCAGTGTTTACTTGCCCTCTGTCTCCTCTCTCCTTTTTGGATGAGATCGATGTCACCTAATGCTACAGTTGTGTTCTCAAAATAAATAGTGCTTTCGAGAAAAATTTAATATTTGCAATGGGCATCGATATCATTCTTGAATTTTCCAGAACACCGTCACATTTAAATGATCACATTTATTTTTTGTCAGTGTGCATAGCTGTGACAGACATCCGTACTCAGCCGTCTAGACATATCTTTCATTAGAAGAAATCTTAAGTGAAAATCTTCAAAAGAAATCAAAAATAGTATGCATTTTATATAATATTACAGATTACGAAACAAGAAGGTGACGATACCATTAAAAACTTTTTTTGTAATGGTATCGTCTGGTATCGTTTGTAATGGTATTGTCTGTAGGGGCGTCGGACAAATACTTTCGAAGATCACAAACTGTTGATGTCTAGTCACATCATCATAGCACAGTGATGTGTTTAAAGGCAAGACCTTTATAAGTATATCCGTTCTCTTTTTTTTCTCTACTAGTTGGAATCAAGGTCACATGTTTTTCTTGTTCTGCTGTTGTATTTCTTTTTCTGTATATTTTCATCGTCGATGTTTTCATGAAGAGAAATTTTTCTTTCCAAATGCGATTATAAAAAAGACACGATTGATAACCTTGTATGAGTGATGACACAAATCTTTGTTTTTCATTTAGTATTAAAATTTCAGTTTTTTAAAAACTTTTTAATTAATACGTTATTTAGTAGAGTTTATATACACAATGCGAGAAACTTTAGTAAACTCTTAAAAGGTAAGAATTAAATAAAGTTTTTGACGCTTTTTTTTTGTTTTTTTCGATGGACTACACTGTAAAAAATTAATTAGTGTAGCCTGGGTACACTAGATTTGTACATTATGTTGGACTGTTTTTGCACACAGAAAACGGCTTGCTCAGTGTGCCTGTAATATACTAGAATTGCACATATAGCTTCCGTTTTTTTGCATAGAGAAATCCCAAGACAAAAATTCGAGTTGCATAGTAACAAATCTGCACATCAGTTTGGACTCAAAGTGCACATTTTATTTTTTACAGTGTAAATTTTCTGTTGCATCTGTTTAAAGTTTTAGAATGATTGAAAATTTTTAATTTCCTGTCTCCGATGATAGTCTGGTTATGAAACGGAAGCCACTTTTGTTATGTGTAGTATGTGGCAGTAATGCACATGGTTATAATTTTGATGCGTATGTATTTGATTAAATTATTATTATTACGGTTATTAGGTTATTTATACCTTTTTTAGTATAACATGTGAATCATGCAAGGCCTTTTTCCGCCGAAATGCATTAAAATCGATGGTAATTGTTCTGTTAGTCTTTTATTTTCTTATTATATTTCTATTTTGTACGATATTTTCTAGACTCGATTAAAAAAATGTCATGCGAGTGGGAATTGTGAAATAAATGTCGGAAATAGGAAACACTGTAAATATTGTCGGTTACAAAAATGTTTTGAAATGGGTAAATATTTATTCCTATGCTTCAGTATCAATTATAGGTTGAAACTGATTCGAGTGTGAAACGCTGATGTTTTCAGAGTATTCATTAGTGTTATGTTGACTTTTCTATGTAGGCATGCGCAAAGAATGGATAATGACAGATGAAGAAAAGCAGATGAAAAAGCAAAAAATCGAAACGAATCGCCGTTTAAAAGAACTTTCAGTGAATTATCAGACTTATGTTGATAACTCGGATCAAGTAAGAAAACACTTAAAAACGTATTTTATTGCACTCTAAGTTTATTGTTACATAATAATACCTTGTCAGAGTACTCCCCTTTCGAAGCTAAAATGTGTTACTTCCCACAATTGTCAATTGTCAACTGTTGACTTTCCAGCCACAAAACTAACTCATTACTCATAGGAGTTTCTAAGTTCTATTAGAAATCACAAATGGTATGGTACCTGCTCGATGCATAGTAATTTTAACAATTTTGTCATACCTTGCTATTAAGAGTTTTACCTCACCGGACAGGAAAGGAAAGGCAAAAGAAAAATATTAAAAGTCTGATGAGGGAACTTCCCCAAATGTACTCTCGTTTTTTCAACGAAATGTAGTGGGTTGTAGGTAATCGATGTAATCGAAACCTCAAAAAATCCCCGAAACCTTTTTTCTAAATAAGTCATAATTGTAGCCTGCAAAATTCTGATCCAAATGAGATATCTCTCAGCTGTACACAACCTTCCTTTGCAAAGGTATAGAGTTTACTTACAGGAAAAGCCCTGAATTCATTTTTCCATTTTCTTTCTGTAGTTCTGATGTAACAATGAACATTCAGGGTTTTCCTGTAAACTCTATAACTTTGCACAGAAAGGTCGTGTACAGCTGGGAGATGTCTCATTTTTATGAGAATTTCGCGGGCTGCAATTGTGACTTATTTAGAAATGGTTTCAAGGATTTTCCAAGGTTTGAAACCGACTAGGAAAGACCTTTGAACCTAAATGAATATCATATTCAATATCCGCATGGCTGATTACCTACAACCCACCACATTTCATTAAAAAAACGACAGTACATTTGGAGGTTCCCTCGTCAGTTTCTAACTGGCACTTTCCTTCGGAAACTATTAGAAAGCGTGACATAAAAATGTCTGGTTACTCAGCTTTGCAGTTTTCACAGTGATAAATGATAGCAGAGATGGTATCGACTCCCTATTGTCGATATATTTGTAAAGAATTCGCGGAGAGTCTTCGAATGTTTGTTTTCTAAATTATGCTAAATCCAAAATAATCGTCATTGTTCGGGCAGTCTCTATCAAATCATTTTAAATCTAAGCAGATTTTTTCTGTTATTCTCCACGGGTTTTTGCAAAGTTGGTTTACATAGTCATGGCTGATTATTATGCATCCCAGAATATAATGCAGGTTACCATTTTTTTAAAAAAACTCAGAGAGAAATGAAGATAGAGACCTGTGGTTTTCAGTTTTGGAAACTATTATCGGATTCAAAAAAAAGAGGAGTCAGCAGAAAGACTATAACTCCGCGAAGAAGATAGATAACGGGCTGCGGTTTTCGCCATTCGAAAGAAGACTGCAGGACACGTATATCTATGCAGAAAGCAGAGTTTTCCGAACTGTTTCAGCGATTTTTCAAAAGGAGTCAATATTTGATGTCAAAACTAGTGTGATTTAGTCGGAGAATTTTTTTCGACCTTTTTGATGGACCATATGTAAAAAAACGCGCTCTTTCGAATGATGTCTAAACAACCCACAAAGTTTTGCTTCCTCACCGAGTTATAAGCGTTTTAAAAACGGCCACTTTTTCAGGAACTTTGGCTTTTTTAGGAAAAGTGGCCATTTTTAAAACGCTTATAACTCGGCGAGGAAGTAAAACTTTGTGGGTTGCTTAGACATCATTCGAAAGAGCGCGTTTTTTTACATATGGTCCATCAAAAAGGTCGAAAAAATTCTCCGACTAAATCACACGAGTTTTCCAAACATTGACTCCTTTTCCCAACAGTTCGGAAAACTCTGCTTTTTGCATAGGTATACGTGTCCTGCAGTCCTCTTTCGAATGGCGAAAATCGCAGCCCGTTATCTATCTTCTTCGCTGAATTATAATCTTTCTGCTGACTCCTCTTTTTTTCTGATCCGAGAATAGACACCTGAAGCTATCTTTCCACAAGCAGTTCAGATATTTCACATCCTAAAGTTTTCAACTGGCTCCGATGTGTTTTGAGTGAGTTATAAATTTTTCAATATTAGCTGAAAATAGGAAAGGCTTTTTAAAATAACTAAGATAGTAAATAAAGTTTTTTTGATTTCTTTGAAAAGCGGTTTTGATAGCCAGGCGTATCGGTTGAAAAAAGCGGTTGCAACCGATCGTTGCTTTGTGGAAAGCGCTTTCTAAATGAAAACAAAAAGCTTCTAAAATACCTTCTGTATACTATCTTGTAGAGAAATGTTTTCTCTACAAAACTGCAGTTTTAAAAAATGTTACAACTCGTTTTTACGAAAGTATAAATCATTTTTTATGAGTTTTTGAAAAATACTAAAAGAAACCGATCCATTCCTAGCTGAAAACAGCCAGAGAAGGCTAATTCTCGTAAAATTTATTAGTTTCTAAAATCTTATTTTAACTTTAAAGGCACTTTTGTCATTCTTTTGTCACTCTTGTCATTCTAAAATCTTTTTCTAAAAACAGACATTGTCACGAGACTCAGCATAGTCGACAGCCTATGCTTTTACGCATTTCTGATAGTCCCAAAGCTGCTGATAAAGGAGTCCTGGCCCTTCAGGAAAAATGTTCGTAGCACCTCAACCATAGTTTTTGAAGTCGTCGCTTTGTTCCAGTTTTGTAGAGGAGACTTTGGACTATCTACCTATGCAAAAAAATCAACAGACTGCTATTTGAATTTGAGAAAATTGAAGCTAGACTTTGAAAGATCGTCTGGAAAACGATCTCTGAAAATTTTTCTGAAAACAGATTTGCTTGTGGAAAGATAGCTTCAGATGTCTAGTTTCCAAAACTGAAAACCACAGATCTCTGTCTTCATTTTCCTCTGAGTTATTCAAAAAATGGTAATCGGCATTATATTCTGGTATGGAAGCATGGCATTCAAATTTCTAAGAAAATGCCTCATACACGAGCTTATTGGACTAGTCAAACGGTCATTTTATATAGCGTTCATCCGACCAGCACAAAATTCATTTTTGATATGCAATCCGCATCCAGTACAAAGTAGCGGTATGAAATCATACAAGCCGTTTCGCTGCCATTAAGCATTTGGATTCGCATTTTTAATGAAATAGTTCCAAACTTCTCGTAACAGAATGAAGATAAATGATGTGGAAACATCTGATCTAAAACTTTCAACTGAGAACTTTAATGAGTCGTACATGGCCGTTGTTTACAAATTTCCAGAAAAAGAAATGAATAACAACATAAAATTTTCGTTTTCCTAGGCGTCATCCGATACAGTATCTCCTGATACAAATGTTTTGCCACAATCACTTTTCTCAGTGTCACTAACACAATCTGATTGGACTAAATTGCATGATATTCAAACAGCTTATACAAATGCAGTTAAAATGAATTCTGTTGAAGGTCTTCATAGGTATCCCTCAATAGAAACATTTTCCTCAACTGATCAATTGATTAATATACCAACAAATATTGCATCATTACGTTTAATAGCATATATTAAACAAATTCCAGAATTTCAAACATTGAATGAAGATGATAAAGTGACACTTGTAAAATACAATATACTAGCAGCAATCTTTATGCATGGAGTTTTAATTTATGATCCATTAAATGATACATTTCATGAACATAATACAGATGATTATCTATTTGATGCAAAAGATTTTATAACAACTATAAGTTTAGATTTTTATCAACAAACAACATATGTTATGAAAGATTTAATTCAAATTGTGGAACATGATCGTATGATCGTTAAAATTCTTATTATTATTTTAATTTGTTCAAAGGGTTTCTGTGCTTATGAATATATGCAAGAACCAATATTAAATAATACCATAAATGTCTATAATGTACAAAATATTTATATTGATCTTTTATGGTTATATTGTTCAAATCAATTTGGTTATTGGAGAACAGTAAATTTATTTTCAAAATTATTAACAAGATTTATGTCAATTCAAATATTAGCAAAAGATATGAGAACAATTCTACATCATCAACCTAGTATTGATCAAAAATTGGTGCCATTGATGAAGTCTCTTATGTTACTTACATAGTTATTTGTTTCTATTTTATGTTTTACTGTGTATATAATCTTTGTTGAATATCGTTGATCTTTCGTTTACTTTTGATGTATTTTTCATATTATTATGAGATTTATTCCAAAAAAGTAAAAAATGTCTTTTCAACAGAATAACAAAGAAAACGTGAAACTTCATTATATCAATTTTTTTTCTATCCTGGTGTTGTCATACGGCCATGACTCATTTTTGTTTGTGTTAAGGATACAAAGTAAACAGGAAGAAAAAGACACACGCACACATACACACAAACCGTGCACAGAGAATGGACAGTAGAAGAAAGGGTAACATTTCGTGGTATGTCTGAATAAATAAGAAACAAAAGAATTTTTTTTTTTAGAAATATTTTCTAAAATAGTTTTGGTGCTTATTTTGTGAGCAATTTTATGTCTATCAATATCACAGCTGAGCATAAGAAAATCAGTTTCTTTTATGTTCAGAAGTTAAATAAAACTCTTTTTGACCACTATGACTTTCCGGTTTCTCTTCGGGTTATGATAGTCAGGGATAATATTTGTTGAAATTTTACTTAACAAGTGAAATGGCAAGTGATTTTTTGATATGCGGTTGACTTTTCAGGATGTCTATGGCAAAACACCGTTACACTATGCTGTCTCTGGTCAGTACGATGAATTGATCCAATAGTTAAGTCAAGTTTCTCAAGTAAATGTTAATAGATCTCACATTCACGTTCAACGTTCAAGTAGTTTGGATATAGCTATCTTTGGATATAATTCTGTATTACAAGCGTTATTACGGCACAAGAAGAAGTTGTTCGACGTGAAATAAGTTCATCTTAAGTAAAAAGTAACAACATATAAACGAACGAGATAAGTAGTAATGAAGAGCAATTATCGTTATTCTGAAACTCATTATTTTAATAAACCGTGTTGTATGCGAAATAGAATTGGAAACAATTTATCTGTAATCTTTCAATCTCATAGAAAGAACATAATGAACATTCGAATCTTGTACAGCTATCGGTATAAAAACAGCTTGTAACAATCATTCTGCTCGTAATTTATATTTCATCCTTCAAAAACTTCTTAGTCACATACAAATGACATAAATATTCACTTATTCAACTAGTATTCCTTATGTATTTGTAATTCCAACAACAATAAAACGTGAGTAAATTCTATATTTAAGCACGATTTGAGAATAATTAAAAAATATATCTTGATGTTTCGAAAATGTAGAACAGGAATTAAAAGGCTGCTATTATCATTCTTCAGTGTATGTGTATAGAACGTTATTTCTCTTTAAGGTCCCCCCCTCCTGTCAGAAATGATGATTCGCGGTCAGAAAATTGGTTTTGAGATACGCACATGGAAAGATAGCTTGAAGTGTTGACTCTCAGACCTTGTATCGCTTTTGGTTACAAAAGCGGTTTTTCGCTGATTTTCAGCAAGTTTGCTAGGAGCCTCGAATAAATAATAGCTTTTCCTGGATACTTATGCAATTAAAAGTTTTCTAAACACACAGATTTGTAGAACAAACGTTTTTGATCAATATAAGACCTTGCACATCTTTGTATGAGCTTGTATCAAAAAGTTACAGGGATTTTCCTAGAAGTCCCTAAACGGAGCATTTTATACAGCGTTTTCTCTACATGGAAGTTATACCTGAAGATTGTCCCAAGATTTTTAATAGTGATTTGTCGTAGAGCGTTTATTCTTTTTTTGGTTAAAAGAGGAAAAGAAACTACATGGACTGAACGGCGTCGATTTTTGAATTAGGTCTTAGTTTTTTGTCAAACTGAGGATTTTTAGAGATCCCGGAAGGATTTTTCAGGTTTTCAAGGTTGCTGGTTGTCTGGAAAATCAACAAAGGCTTAATTGAAAAATCGGCGCCGGTCAGTCCATGTAGTTAGGTGTCTAATTTAAAATAAAACAAACCCGAACTCTCCAGCTTGAAGTATATTAAAAAATCTTGGAACACACTTCAGGAACCTTTTTGGATCTTGATCTCTGGAAAACTCCTAAACCGTAAGACTTGGGGACAAAAACATTATTTTATTCCCGCAGCTCATTGTGCCTAACATTAATGGAAAGTTTCGTCAAGACCGGATGTACGGTGTCGGAGATGATTTCTGAGGGAGGAAGGCCCTTAAAGGACAAAATAAGGAAAGGCAGAATTTTATATTTACAGTGAAATGTTCGTTAGAGATGTAGCAACTAACGAGGAATGATCCCCAACTGATAAATCGCTTTTTCAACGAAACCGACCGGACTATAGGTAGTCGACGATGCTGATTCCGAATACCACCATGAATGCTGCCGCTAGGCCTTCAAAGACCGGTATTCTGGAAAACCAGTTTTCGAGAAACTCTAAAGGACAACCAAAAGCTATCTTAATGAGGTGTAATTGTAGTCCATAAATTTCTGATTAAAACGAGGCATCTCCCAGCTCTATACGACCTTTCTTTGCAAAGTT